AGCATGGTTGCACCGGAAAGGGTAACGACCAGGTGCGATTTGAACTGGCATACTATGCGTTAAAACCTGATATCGAAGTGATCGCTCCATGGAGAATTCCTGGTAATTGAAAATACTTACATATGTTACAAGTGAGAATGGAATTCTTAGGATTTTAGGGTTAGGGTGTAGGTTTATACCGGGTGGGCGAAAAGTAACTGGACAGTGACCTTCTTTCTTCTTTAGTCGCTGATACATTATTGATTATATACCAATATTACGTAGATATAATAAATAACTATAAAAATTCTATATTTGCGGAGATAGTCACTGTCCAGTCACTCTTCACCCCGTATAAAATAATTTCTATTCTAAAATTATATAATTTTATTAAGAATTTCCAAATCCGCTTAAATTCCGTTTCCACTTTCAACATACATATACATATATAAATCATGTTAATTTTATTTTTTAAATTTAATTTTATTAATTTATTATTACTTAATTATTATCACTCTAAACATAGAATTTTATGAACGCTTTCCTGGTCGTCAAGCTCTTTTAGCCTATGCTGCTGAAAAAAATATCCCTGTTGTTCAAACAGTTAAAAAACCATGGTCAACCGATGAAAACATGTTAGTTTTCTCTTTTCTTTATAAATTTCCTTTTAAATTCCTTTAATAAATTCCTTTATGCCAATCCTTACCATATCTATTCTGATTTTGTTTCTTAGGTTTCATATTTCGTATGAGGCAGGAATATTAGAGGATCCTTACTGCACTCCTCCAAAAGATATGTGGAAATTAACCGTAGATCCTGAAGACGCTCCAAACACTCCTGAGCGCATTAGTGTTTCCTTTGAAAAAGGAATACCCGTGAAAGTTGTTAACCATGGTGATGGAACTACAATTACTGATCCTTTACAGTTATTTCTTTATTTGAACACCGTCGCCCGTCGAAATGGAATAGGGAGAATTGACATAGTTGAAAATCGTTTCATTGGAATCAAAAGCCGGGGCTGTTATGAAACTCCTGGTGGAACTCTTTTGCGAGCTGCTCACATCGATTTGGAAGGTTTAGTACTCGACCGACAAGTTCGGTCTTTGAGAGATCAATTTATTACTCCTCAGTTCTCGCAATTATTGTATAATGGTCAATATTATTCGCCAGAGTGCGAATTTTTGTCCGCTTCCCTCCTCGAAAGCCAGAAAACCGTTACTGGCGAAGTCAAGTTAAAACTTTATAAGGGAAATGTGATTATTGAAGGCCGAAAATCCGATACTGTAAAATTGTATGATATGGAAGAAAGTTCAATGGACGTCCAAGGTGGATTTAGTCCCGTTGATTCAGATGGATTTATTAAAATCCTTGGAATTAGACTGAAAAAATGGAAGAAGAGTGCTCTCTAAATATAATTATTTAATCATTTTAGAAAAAAAAAATTTTTTATAATAATTATTAAAAAAAAAAAAAAAAAAAAATTTTTTTTGATGTTCTTCTATGTGTAATATTATAATAATATAAAAATTATTAATAAAATGTTGTTTCTTACTTAAATTGAATTAAATTACACGAGTGAATTTTTTTTTTTTCGTTCTATATATATATATAAATATATATATATAATATATAAATTATATATATAATATATTATATATTATATTAATATATATATAAAAAAAAAAAGAGAAAGAAGGAAGTTGCTATTGTTTTGATTGCCTTGAACATATCTTCGCGATTTGGTGTAATGTTTCCATATTTATATTGCTATTGAACCTAACCAAACGCATTTATTTGGTTGGGTTTTCCTAACAAATCAATCATAAGGGGGAGGGGAAGGAGGGACACTACATATGAATATTGAATCTTACCTTACATATTTAACGAGAAAAATAGAAAAATTTTGAAAGAAAACCGAGAGGTTAACGAAGAGATAGGAGTTAGCCGTGTATTAAGGTGGATATTTATCAGTTTCTAACATGTGCATGTTTCACATTTACGTCTTCGAACCAAGAAAGAAAATAAATGCTTTTTTACCGGATCAATTGGAAGGATCAGGTTTTTTTTTTTACGACAGATTAAATGAAGAAAATATAATATTTCCTGATTGCAGAACAGGGAAGTTCATTGTTTACTTGATCAGAGGACTATGCTATCCTCCTTTGTTTGGATATTGAAGACACTAAAATGGGAAAAACTAATTTATTACGAACATTGATTGATGCGTATATTATGATTTGTTTTTTCTATGAAACCAATTGACTCAATTGCATAATTGTTGACTAATTTTAATCATTTACGTATTGACACATAATTTGAATAGAATCGAATTCGAAATAGTGTGAAAATTTAAATGTCACTACGTAGAGGTGAAAAAAGTAACCGAATTCTCTAATTGACACTATTTAGGTAATAATGTATATTTGTATATCAGATATGTACAGTACGTATTGGTATGTAGGTAGATATGTAGGTAGATATGTAGGTAGATATGTAGGTATGTATGTAGGTATGTATGTAGGTATGTACGTGGGTATGTATGTAACATGCTTATAGTATGCTTATAGGTATTGAAACAAGTAATTTTTTTGCAACTCCAAGCCATTTATAGACATTGGATATTAAAAAAAGTTTCGAGCTTACTCTATTGTTGCATCGCTTTGGAACACAAAGACGTAATAAGTTTGTTTCGCTATTAAAAAGTAATAATAGTAATAATAAATTTGCACTGGTTAAAAGAATAACCTATTTTTCTCGATCATACAGAATATCGGATCACGGAGTTTTAAACAAGTTTTAAAAAATTTAAATCAAAAATTCTATATATTTAATATATTTAATGACAATAAAGTTTTATTAATTTAAATTAAGCACTATTTAACGTATATTGATATGTATAACGTATATCTGTATATTGCTGTATTGATACATACATACCTGATACGTACGTACGTACGTACTTTACGTTGATAAATTAATTAATATACATATTTAAATATATATATATATAAATATTAATTATATTTGTACATACGTGTATTTAATTTTATTAACAAAGTATATTGGCACTTAAAATATATTAAATATACTTATATTTATCTTATTTATCTTATAGTTATCTTATATTTATCTTATATTTTATCATGAACACAGTCCAAACATCCTAATTACTAATTATTATCTCATGATAACTGGTTGGATTAAACATAATCTATCGTCATATCGATATCGTTAGATCAATCATGTTGATTAAACATCTATCATTCTATATAAACCGTGTAACTTTCGTTGTTGGGTTAGTGTTTCGAAAAACTTAAATATTCGTATCACATGAAGATTATCCAAAATGATTGCAAAATGATTGGAGATCAGATAAAAAATTTGCGATTGCGCTATATGCGGTTGAAAAACTGGTATCGTACATATCGTACATATCGTATGTACATATGTACATATCGGTATTTATAGTATTATTTATTTATCGCTATCTATCTTTTATTTTTTATTTATTTTATTGGCTTTCTATAAATTTGTTGCACTCGCGTACGTGTACGTGTACATACATACGTACGTACTGTACGTAGTATGTTTAGGGGATCATCCCACTTTCTGATTCTTTTGATTCTTTCTGATTATCACCGGTCGATTTTTTAAAAAAATTATTAGTTCTTGTGTGTAGCCGTGGGAAGTTTCGATATTTGAAAAATGGGTCAACTCATTGATAAATCACTCATGTCATTGATAAATCACGCACGTGATCTACTTTCTCCTATCACATTATTCATTCACACTATTCATTGTTAGCCTCTTGATATTTTCCTGGCAAACGATATGTAACAGTGAGGTAAGCTTTTTTTTTTTATGATCTTAAACCTTTATATAAAAAAACCTTAATATCAAAACAAAGAGCCTGATTGTCATGATACTGTATTTGAAAATTACGCATACATTGCTGTCTATAAAAGGCTTTCCTTAAAAAAAAATTTTTTTAAATTCTCACACAACCTTAATTACGTACCAGAAAGTCTTTTTCGTAGAATTAATTAGTATTTTAATTCAATGCTTTACCAAACTTTGTCATGAATGCGGAAATATTTTCTTTTAAAAAAAAAAATAATAGATATATATATTATATATATATATACATGATATGGGAGTCTGATCCATATGTACATACGTAAGGTCATAATGTAGAAAGAACTTTGGGGCAATTCTTTTAACCTACTCTGGTTAATATCAAATCTGTCTTTATCACGACAAAATTATTAATAAAATTACTATGCAAATTATGGGTAATTTATCTTTCACGTATGTAATAGAGTTTTCTATGTCCGTACTAGTGTTGCCAACAAAATTTTATTACTTCACATACTCGTAAATTCTCGAAATAACGCTCAGGGTGAAATTACGAAATTTGGCCTAAATTAAACTTAATTCGGGCCAAATTTCGTAATTTCATCTCTGGGCGTTATCTCGAATCTAAGTTATAATTAATATTAGGTTAGAGTTAGACATAGGCGTAGATATATAGTAAAATCGCATGACACTTTTACTTAGCGTTAGTATTTTCGGTTTTTGTCTTTGTCGGTTTGTTCGCAATAATTCGGGATACATATCGGGTAATTTCGTAAGGTGTGATAATTAATCATACGTAACTTTTGTTGGTAACGCTAGTCCGCACTTTTGTGTAAGTACTTATCTGTTATGTTTATGTATACTAGATCGAATGATCATTTGCTCACTGCATTCTGCGGATATGAGTGGTTAGTCGTACGGTTTTCAAAGATCATTCTTCATTTTTGTACAATATGCTTGACAATCAAGATTATTTTAAACCTTTATTATCAATACGATTAAATGTTATTGTCCGTTTTTTATTTTATTTTATAGATAGATTTTACGTTCATAGATTATATTTTAATCAATTTCAATAAAACAGTAAACAAACGGTTATTTTTAAACCGCCTTTTTTTATTGATTGATTAGAGATTAAAGATTATCAGATCGGTGGCGGCTTGATTTTGTTGCGAAACTTATTACTGTACAATATGACAATATGATTGTTTCTGCAAATATTTAAGTGTCCGATTTGAACGTTAAGGTTGGTTCTTATCATCAATTAAATTTCTTAAAAATTCTTAATATAATAACAAAAAAAATAACAAAAATTTTCACTTATTAATAAAAAATAAATTTTAATACCGATGTCCCCAATAAAAGGTCGAGTTCTGCTCGCTTATTCTGGCGGCCTGGATACTTCTTGTATCCTCGCCTGGCTTCTTGAGCAGCGGTACGAGGTCCTTGCATACATGGCTAATGTTGGCCAAGAGGAGGATTTCGAAGCTGCAAAAGAAAAAG